TTTGTTTCTAATAATGCATTCTGTTCTTTATATCCTGTTTTACAGGTCCAGTCCTATCAGAGGACCAGAAAGTGTATAACTTGCGGCACTCCAGGGCCAGGCGGGTCATTGAAAACGCTTTCGGCGTTTTAGCAGCCCGGTGGAGGATCCTTGGGCGTGCTATGGAGTGCTGCATAGAAACAGCGGAGGACATAACTAAGGCATGCCTCATCCTCCACAATTTCCTTGCAGCCAACGACCAAGGTTTGACGGAGACTGACCGCTACATCCCCCACACCATGTGCGACAGAGATGGCACGCCTGGTGAATGGAGAGAGTTGGTCCAGGGTGACACCAACTTCCGGAGCTCTCGAGCATATACTGCTGCAAGGGCTACGCAAGATGGACTGGCTGTAAGAGAAATCTTTAAAGAGTTCTTCCAAACAGACCAGGGCATGATTCACTGGCAAGAACAGCACGTCCAACGTGGGACCCTAGGTCATCATTAGTTTGTTTATTTGTTTATTAATTTGTTCATTGGCTGTTAAAAATCAAAATCAACATGTTTTGTTTAGTAGTAGTAATAACATGTACATCAAACAATAAAAAGACTCACATCAATCACAATCACTGAAGTTTTTTTTTTTTATATTTAAGTGCAAAACAGTGCTGCATAAAGACATTGCATGCCATGACCTCAAACAGGTCAAATTTGAGAGAATAAGAGAAAACTGTAAAATTATATATATAAACATACATATATATATATATATATATATATATATATATATATATATATATATGTATGTATATATATATATATATATATATATATATATGTATGTATGTATATATATATATATATATATATATATGTATATATATATATATATATATATATATATATATATGTATATATATATATATATGTATGTATATATATATATATATATATATATATATATATATATATATATATATATATATATATATATATATATGTATATATATATATATATATATATATATGTATGTATATATATAAACACATCTATACTCGTTAGTTTAACTAAAATAATTTAACATATCTAATTAAACAGAGCAGTCAAGGGTTGTTATATTTTGTAAAAAAAATAACAATAAAATGCCAAAGTGCAACAAAACGGGTGAAAATAGACATCAGTGATATGTCAAACATATCAATAGGTCAGCATAAGGCGCTGTATGTCCTTTACCAAGGCCTTGGCATCATTCTCAGGAAGCTCAAGTAAGAATTGATTTAAGTATGCAGTGAATGCTGTAAATACATTCTTGCTCTCATCGAGCTTCCTAAGAATGGCGGCATCAATAGGGTCGATGTCCTCAGCAGACCTCTTTTTTTTCCTCTGGCCTGGTCTTGGCAAAGGACTCTCTGAGGGTGGAACAGAGGAGGTTCCACAGGCTGGAAGAGGTGATGATGCTGCTGCTGATGCTGCTGCTGATGCTGCTGCTGGTGCTGCAGGTGTTGGTGGAGGGGAGTCACTGCATGTCTCACCCATGTCATCATCTTCTTGACACTACAAATGTGTACAAAACGTTACAGACTGTCATTAATTAACTCAAAAAAAAAAAAGGACAACCACACTGAAATTATCTTAAGAGGCTAGTCATTAAAACTTGAGAGAAAGGGGGGCACGAAACAACATTATTACAAAACAGAACTTACCGCAGATGGAAAATTGCTCACAGTGGCTCGGTGAGAAATATAGGGGCTCAGCCACACCAGGCGTTGTAAAATTGGAGGGCCTGCTGCAGACATCCCGTTTGCGCCATCGCCGCTTTTTTTACATGCCACTTTATTATGGGCGCGCACATAGCGCTCCCTAATTGCGGCCCACTTGGCCTTTGCGACATCCCCTGTGATGCCCAGAGCCTCCCCGATTTCCTGAAAGCTATTTTTGATTTTTTGTTTGTCCCTGTGCCCCGGACACGACACATCGTACAGATGTGGATAGTTGCGGACAAGCTCCGACAGTCGTTCCTCAAATCCCGCCATTGTTTAAAGCCCAGAATTCTAACCTTCTTTGTGATTTTGTTGACATTTTGTACTAAAAACTCAATAACGCCCCCACCATTTCCGGTAGTATTGCTCCGTATTGATCCGTTTCGTCCGTAAGCGTAAGCTCCCAATTTTCGTGTCAAAGTACGGACGAAATCGACGGTTAGAACGTATGAAACACTCCACACGTATCCGTATCCGTCTTTTACGTGAGGTATGAATGGGCCTTTAGACGTGTGTCTCTCTTCATCACATTAAAATAGAGACATTTTAACCGCATGTATTGAGGTAAAGTAAGAGATGATTGTGTTCTAAAACTTTTCTTTCACTAAATTCACAAAAAGTCATTGTCATGGTAGGGATAAAATGGATTTTCCTTAAACACAGTTTTCCGGCTTTGGATTCGAATGCAAGATTTTGATTCCCTTTGGCATAAACTGGATGACAGGTCAATAATGCTATGGCCTACAAAACATTTCTTCAGCAAAATACCACTAAATTGTATCAATTTGATAGACTGTCTACCCAAAATAACTACTGTACAAGAGACAGAGTAAAAAAATTGGTAGTCAGTTGGGCTTGGAAGGTGTGGACAGGTTGTAACCTCACTTACCAGAAAGATTTTACCTAGCCAGATGGTCAGCACAAAGAAGTCTGACCAAATGGGTTGCATTATATCTTTTTTACATGAATACACTTTTAGCTCATGAAAATCTTTGAACAAGATTAGAGATATGCATTCAACTAAGTGGGGAGGTTGCATAATACCAACTTTAGTTTAAGATTCAATAACATCCATTCCCACTCAGTAGGGCTGAAACAGCAGTCATCTTAGTGTATAGTACTGTAGCTCTACATCAAGCCACAAGTTGGTGACCCAATATAAATTCCCAGACCGGGAATCGAACCCGGGCCGCAGCGGTGAGAGCGCTGAATCCTGACCACTAGACAATCAGGGATATGTTTCTGATATTTTCAGTAGGGTTTTCACGACATGTCTGTTAATCAACAA